CCACTTGTAGAGTTTCATTTTTCTTCGTTGCGAGAGGACTTTTCTTTTCAATTACCTGCTCAGTTCAAAGTAGCACCTGCTCGGAAGAGTGATACTACTGAATTTCAAGGCTGATGTTATTATTGGTGTTGATTCTGATTCCAAGATAGATGAAGTTATCTACGACTTCAAAGTTATGACTGTCAACTGTGGCCTGGGAGCCGAGTCGCGAATGCGATGACTATTTGTGTGATGACAGCAGATAAGTCGCCGTGACCACGTTGACTACCACAACCATATCCTTCGCTTCCTTATCCAGTCTGGAGAAAGCAGAACTCACCAGGCCAACAATGTCAATATCAACGGCGTACGCCAGCAGCTGTACACTGTTATAGAAGATTGTACCTATTCCATTCAGCTCTGCAGCTCATATTATTCTCTCCAGCAATAAATTAAAGAAGTCACACGATAAGGAATCATTCTGTCTGAAACATCGTTTGGTGTCGAAGGGTTTTTCCAAATTCTGACTGCGCTTCTGGTCTTGTCTAGCGTCAGCTTACACAGCATATAAGTTTCGCGGGGATACTAAATTCAGGCAGAGCGGCGTAAAGGCAGCTCCTTTTCGTGCTGTCGAAGGCTGCTTTAAAATCGACGAAGAGGTCGTGTCTGTCGACACTCTTTTCACGGGTCTTTTCCAAGATTTGGCGCATGGTGAATATTTGGTCAATGGTTGACTTAACAGGTCTGAAGCCACACTGATAAGTCCAATCAGTTTGTAGGCAGTGGGTTTTACTCTTTCTTACAAAACGCTGGAGAGTACCTTACATGCGATATTAAGGAGGCTTATCCCACTATAATTGGCGCAGACTGTGAGGTCCCTTTTTTATGGATTGGACAGAGCTCACTTCAAATTTAATTAAAGGCAACTTTTAGTTTTACCAGGGCAACGAACCAAAACACTCAGCTCTTGATGTAAAATGTTCGCCCCCACATAGTCCCGACTTTAATGTTGTTGAGTATTTTTGGGTACATGACGCAGAACCGAAAATACCACCCTAAGTTCCTTAGAGTGTATTTCTGACCTGAAATAAAAGCTCCTTCTCAACAGTTAGAAGGCGGTTTTTTTATTTTTATTTTTTATTTTTTTTTTGTTTAGGTTATAAGCCACTAAAATTCCCGCTCGGTAAAACTGGGTACTTCTGTCTCTGTCGACGTCCTCCGCCTCCATCTTTATAAAATCGACGTGGTTCCAGTGCTCTTACTATGTGCCACATACGTAAGTTACATAGTCAACATGTGTGCTTGTGAGTGGTATGCTGTCACGCCCTCGCCCCTGTAACTCGCTCCATCGTACAGTACGGACGGTATATAGATTTAGCGCCTCAGGACCATGATTCTCGTTTGAGCGCTTAATACCAAATCGTATATCCATAAACGATGATTACTTTCACACCTGTGGAGCTTCTGCATTCATGACACGGTCCTCCGGCATTTGGTAATGAAAATGGCTTCTATTTTGTGGAATTGAGGCTTGAGCCTTTTGTTACTGCGTTTTGTCGTTTCATACATGTATGTATGTATGTGCGTGTCGTATACGTCAGTAATTGCTCTATTGAGCTTTTTTGCCCAGAACCAGTAGGGGGTAACTCAAATTTCAACCCTTGCCTGCGATGTGTCGTGCTCCTGATAGAATGTCTATTAAAGCACCGGCAGGTAAATGCTAAATCAATGATCTGCAGCCCATGTGTTGAAGTCGCCTACTAAAAGAACTTTAGCAAGTCTGGTGCAATAAGCTTAGTAGAATACACAACAAGGGGGTTCTCGTTTGCTTTGCAGCTCTTGACTCATATTTACTTTTATACTGCTCGCTCAAAAGTAAAATGTTCTTAGTGTTAGCTTATCATTCGCTGTTTTGCATAAAATTATATGTTGTAATATAACAGCATCCGGTCTCACTGTCCTAACTGATTTACCACCTCTTTTTCGCGTTAAAACCTTCTCTCAGGGACCGAGGTTTATGCTACCTTCTCATCCCATTTAAATTAGCTTGATTTTGACATTTGGCTGTAAATTATCTGTATTTAGGAATGGAGTGCACTTTGTTGATGCTGCAGGTCTCTCCATTTGTTGGATAACACACACATACATGTGGATAACATGTACTGAAATGTGTGTCCCGTAATTATTGCTTTCTGATGCATACCTCTCAGGCACGCATATTTTTGGCTTAAATTGAAAATCTGATCTATAGTACATATGTATGTATGTGCTCGTATGTATGTGACTTTGTATTCATCCAAATTTCGAAATAATGTGTGAAGGTAAATATTATGTACGTGTATGGCCTAATAAATACATATGTGTGTATGTAAATAGTTATGTACTAGTGCAAGTACGAATATTAAATTCATATGTGTGTATGTATGTAGGCGCAAGTATGTGCAGGTGGCGTGTTCAATATGGTCACCACTTTGTTTACTTTTGCCAGCGAAAGCTCAATTGAATGGTCATAAAAAAGCAAAAATAAAAAAAACAATAATAGAAAACGCGAATGAAAAAGACCAAATTGTGAAGAATAGGTAAATTCTGAACACAAAAACAACAATAACAACAACAGCGATAATAATAATTGCCAATGCATTTTCGTCACACGACACCGAAGCTTGCAGTAGCATTGCGTCTGACACGATTCACACAAACGAGCACACGTACAAACGTACGATATACTAAAAGTACTGCACTATACGAAGTGCATTCGGCTCAGCTCGCAAGAAATTTACAATGCAAAGCGTAAACCATACCCACAAAGCACACAAAAATAAATATAAAAAAATAAAAGAAACAAAATGCAATGTGATTGCAAAAGTTCTAACGCTTACGCGGCGCAGAAGTCAACTTTGCCAATACCGTACAACCATTATTGCATGACGTGAACTGCTTTAGGCACTGACACTACTTGAACGACAGATTCCGTGCTAAATTACGCTTGAAGCTATTGCGATCGTTCCCGCTGCTGTCACTAACGCCAGCCTAACGTTGACCGAGTGCAATTAACACTTTTGCTCTTTTAGCATACGTGGGCTACTTTTATGGGCTGCTCTGCACGTTTTCGTCTCAGCAATGGAAATCATCACTCAAACTCTGCCACGCAGATGTTCTTTGCACAATTTCCATTTTCACTCTCCCCTCACCCTCCTTTCAGCTTTCAGCCGCCCTTATGAAATTTGTAAACTTTTCCCTTTACAGTCATTGTGCTTTCGGGCCAGCTTACAGCAAATGCAACACGCGTTAATGTCATGCTGATGACGTCATATCTGGCATTCTCTTAAGCTTTAGCAGAGCTGTTGTTGGCATCAGCGGGGTGTAGACGAACACATTTCGCTCGCAACTTTTGCTGTGCAGCGCAAGTGTTTGCTTGCACGTAGAAATACCAACATACATATGTATAAATGTATGCAAATGCCTCTAACCGCAATTGGGGTGATGACTTTGACAGTGCACAGTGAGACGAGATGAGTAGACTTCACTATATTGAAATTTAAATCATTAACTGAAATATGTGAACCGAAAATTTAAATTTTGAGCAAATACAGATAAAGTATTTGGAATCCCTCTTTCAATAAACTGTCCGGCTTTAAGTCACAAGCTAATGACTTCTTCATACAAATTGCTCTCATCTGGTGGAAAGTTCTACATCAGCGTATGATCAAACTGATTTCGGAAAATAATAATAAGAATTTTACGAGGTTTTTTCAAGAAAAAAGTAATACAAATATCATCAATTTCTCTACAGAAAACTCAAGGAAATATTTCAACACGATTCAGGTTTTTTTCCAAGGAAAATAATAATATTGTGAAGAAATCGCCAAATTAGTTAATTTTCCTGAATATGTTTATCTAGATTCGAATGCAAAATATTTAGTTTTGATCAGAAAAATCTGAATAAGGGCTGGCTCATGGTGACGATGATACACGACTGTTTCTTTTGTCATAAAAGGCTAGCTATGAATGTCAGTCCGTCATCTTATAATTTGTTTTGACATAGTATATGGTTGTACCTTCAACTCCAAATATATTTCAGCGCGCAGATAGAGGTCATACCTAGCCAAATCAGGTGAGTGAGCAGAGTTTCTGATGGTAAAAATTTATTCTTTGGCCAAAAAATCGACAAGGTAGTTAGGGCAAATGCCTGGTAGCATTTCGCTAAAAGATTGGAAGTGATTCTATGAGCCCTCCTGCTGATTTTAGTAGAACTTTACGTCTCGGTGCTGCCATTTGACATTTTAAGGACTACTCTCAGATCTGTATCACCAGTTAAAAAAAAAAAATATTATAAGTTCTGAACATTTTATTCTTTGTAATATTTAAGCAAATTAAATATACAACTGAATTTCACACCGATATACACGTATCCCAAAATTTCAACTCAGTACTTGCTAAGGCAAGCACCTTTTCAACGCAGTCCTAAAATCTCCTCAACATTTCTTTTAACTAAACATTTTAGATGTGCTTCGTTTTTATTATATTATAGGCTTAATCATTTGTAGAAAAATATTATTACGCACACCATACATCAACATCAAAGAAGAAGAGGTTCGATCGAAAATCGCTAAAACCTTCAGCTCGAGAAGTTATGGCTCCTTCGCACGGTCTAAAAGTTCAAAGTAATGTATTCTTGTAATAAGTCAAGAGGTTCTCAGCAATTATTTTTATACATACTCATTCTCCAGTTATACAACCGACCAGATAATGCAAATACATCGTTTGAAGCTTTCATTTCATTCCCTGAATGTCATACGCGCACTTAACTATAAACTACTCTGTCTAAAGTTCTCTTTTGCCCGTCGTATCTACACACTGTGCTACTGTTTTTGGCTTACGGCGCGTTCTTCGTGCTGACTGAAATGTGCCGCCGTTGTCGTTGCATTTGCTTTTGCTATTGCCATTTGAGATTGCAGTGTGTAAGTATTTAGTGGTCGTCGTTGTTGGGGCGCCGCTGTCGCCAATGCAGCTTTTTCAGTTTTCGCTTAACGCTCGTTCAGTCAAGTTGATTTTGCTGCACCGTCGTTCACTATTTAATTCGCGTCGCATACAATAATTGCATACTTTTATATACATACATACATACATACAGATACTGCAAATATATATTTACATACATAGATACAGATAAACGAAATCATATTTACAAACTGCGCCACACTGCACCGTATTTTGTGGTGCGCACCAATGCGAACGAGGGCAAATGTCTGAGTGGCTTCAATTGGTGTACTATATAGTATTGTGGTGTTAAAATATGCACATATAAGAACATACAACCATATGTATCGGCGATAACAGGTGCGACAAGCACACGCTGCATTAGAAAAACGAGCGGTCGGTCGGTTAGTTTTTATTTGGCGGCAGCGGACGGTGTCATCATCATACACATAACACCAGCACATCAGCTTTAGCATCAACATCGAGTGTCGTCAACAACACACACTTCGTCAGTCTGTGCGCCAGCGACGCGCATCTTCAGTTGCGACGTCTGCTGACAGCATGGCGCGCAAGGATGATCCCGTTTTGAATGTGCGCTTTGTGCAATTAGTCGAAAACCATCCGTGCCTTTGGAACTCGACGCTGCCAGCATATAGCAAGAAGGACGAAACTCAAAAAGCCTGGCAGGAGGTCGCCAATGAGACGAAAGATAATGGTATGTATGGCATTTACTTTGGCCTGCTGGCTGGCGCCGTCGCAGCTGCTCCCATTTTCGCCGTGTCTTTATTGCTAATAACCATAATTGTTGTTAGTGCGCTGGTGTTGTTGTAGTTGCAATTGCGGTGTGTGTGTGTGTGTGTGTGTTTATATATACACCATTGCTATTATAATAATTTGCGTTTGCATTTTGTTGTTGCTATTGCTGTTAATGCTTTTTTCTAGTCTTTAGTTTGTTCGTTACTGTAGTTTGTTGTTGCTTGATTGTAGTCGCATTCTCATTTGTGTGTTCATGCGGTCGAGCTTTCGCATTCGCGCTATGTAGTAACAGCGAGCTCACCAGCTAGGTACCTAGCTAGCTACCAACCAGCTAACAATCGACGCAGAGCGCAGCGTAGAATTGCGTGCCGTTCGTTCTTCAAAAAGTTTTCGCTTTCGCATGCATTCGCTTTTCGCGATGCATGCACTCAGCACACTGCACTTCTACGTTCGTCATTCGTCATTCGTCATTCCCTCTCACAGCACACTGAACGTTAGCCCACCTCACCGCACCGTATCGCAGCCGAGAGCCAGCAACCAGCACCAAGCACCGCACGCAGCTCATTGTCGTTTATTTGTAGCCCGCTTGTGTATACAATAAGTTGGTCAGTTGGCACTGACAGCGCCCTCAATACGCTCGGTCACGCTACCCATACCCATAACTGTTCTGCTGCGCCCCCAACTTCTTACAATGTCATTAGATGTAAGTATTTTGCAAGCGTCCGCGCGTATCTCTGTGTGTGTTTGTGTATTTTGTTGGGGCGTCACTACACGTCGCGTCGTTTCGTCAGCCACTAGTCAATCGGTTTGTTTACTTGTTGCCGTATTTTGCTGCATTTGCATGTGCGGCACGACGTGTGCATAGGTAAGACGTTGGGAGACGCAAGGTAGTAGTCACACACACACACACACATTAATAAAACAAGCGCCAATCAGTACGAGAATGCTCGTGGCGTGGCAGCTGCAATTGCTGCAGAAGCTTTGCTTTTGCTTTTGATTGCATTCTCGGCGCTCAGAGCTTTTTGTCTCGCATTATTCCAACAACAACAGCCAGAATTGTATAATATGATTTTTTTTTTAAGTTTTTGCGCGCTCGCTCTCACTGGCTCTCTGTTTGCTTCTGCTCTGTATGGTTTTCGCGAATTTTTGACTCGTGTTACATTGTTTGCGATTATGCATAGTGTTTGTGTTGAAGTTCTAATATATTTTATTATTTGCTTGCGGCTACAGGCGTCTGCCGCTATGTCATTGTTAGCTTCACACAAAATGCGCTACCCCGACATCTCATTGCACTTAATGATACAGTGAGGCTCACTTGAGATAGTGGGAAGACGCACTAAGAGCAGAAGAATTATTGCGAAATGATTTTCGATAGGCTTAAGTTCTGTGCATTCAGAAAAAGCTTACTATTGAAAAGCGAAAATACATATATACATACATACATACACGTATGTGTGAATGTGCAATAAGTATATATTTAGTAAAAAGGCGAATTCTAGCATTTTTACAATTTTTATACATTCTGCGCTTTTACCACTCAAATGCCCCCGCCCCAGATATGAAAGCGTCAAAGGCTTTAACAATGATCGCGCGGCAAGTATGCAAGCTTTTAATGCACTTTAGAAAGTTTTATATGACTGTAATGGGGAAAGTTTGAGTTTTGCTTATTCTTATCTATGAATGGAATCCCCGAACGAACTGTTACGGTTTCTCCAAAATAAGAGCCTACAATGTTCATATTCAGATTCATAAAATGTGCCAACGCAATAGCTGGAAAATGAGGGTACTTGAAGTGATATACCTAGATCAGCCGAGCTTTCGCTGTGAAGAATGGAAGGAACACTTCCAAGGCTTTCACCACATTTCAAGCAAAGATGATTCATAAATAACTTAGGATTCCGACCATCACCTTTTCTTTATTGGACTTTATTTTTTTGTGTTACTTATTTCATTACATTTTGTTTATTTTTCATTTAAATACATTTTTTAATTAACTAAGTTTTTTAAATTTTATATAAAATATATTATTTATTTTTATTTAATTTCATCTTGAATATTTCGATTTTGTATTCTGTATTTGATTATTTTAAAATTTTTATCTTATTACTTGTTTTATTTAATATTTTTTTATATAATCTTATTGTGCTTTCCTATATGTTTTTTTAATTTTTTTAGAAAATAAATATCTTTTGTTTATTTCATTTAATCTGATTAATTTTCTTTTAATGTTTCATTTTGTTTTATTTTATTGTATATCATCTTATTTTTAAATTAAATATTTTGTTTTTTTAAGGTTTATTTCAGTTTATCTTATTTTATTATGCTTTAAATTATTCATTTTTATTTATTATTGAATTAAATTCATTTTATTTTATTTTTATTTATATAGTAGGCGTTTTGCAACCCCTGAATCGATTTTTTTTATTTTATTTAATTTTACTATATATTTTTTATTTAAGTTTGAAAATCTTTTAAATATTTTATTTTAATTAGATTTTCCTTTATTATATGTTACTTTACTTTATTTTAATTATTTTTTTTTTGTATTTCATCTTATTTATTGCTTAATTTATTTTATTTTAATTTAGTTTAAGCAATTATTATTTTTTGATTATGTGTTTTATTTTATTAACTAAAATGTTTTTATGTTATCTTATTTCATTTGAGAAAATTTTGTTTAACTTTTTTTTAGTTTAATTAAATAATATGTTAATATAAGTTATTTGATTTACTTTTTTGATTACATTTTGTTTGTTATATTTCACAATATTTTATTTACTTTAGTTTATTTTCTTAAATTTTGGTTTGTAACATTTTAATTATTATTTTTTTTAAATATATTTTATTTTATAATATCGTATTTTATTTCATCCTATTTCATTAAATTTAATATAATTTTGTTTTGTTTCGTATTGTTTTATATTATTTAAAGTATATTGTTTTATTTTAATTAATTGTATATTAATATAACTTATTTCACTATGTCTCAATTCATTTTATTTTGTTTTATTTTATTTCATTAAATTTCATTTTGGGCTATTATGTATTACATTGTTTTATAATATTTTATTTTATTTTATTTTATTTTATTTTATTTTGTTTTTATTTTCATTTCATTTTATTTTATTATTTTATATTTATTTTATTATTTTATTTTAGTTTATCTATTTTATTACATTCTGTGTTTTACTTTATTCATTATTTTTTTTATTTTAATTTATTTTATTTTGTATTGTAATATAATACTTTAATTAATTTTTTTATTTTACTGTATTTTCTTTTTGTTTTTGTTCTATGTAATTTTTTTTTGCTTTAATGTACTTTATTTTATTTGAATTTATTTTATATTATATTATATGATATAAATTGATTTTGCCTAATATTAATTTACATTACATTATTTTAGTTTCATTTTGTTTTATATTGCAAATACATTTTTTTCTATTACCTTTTGCATTATTTTTTAGTTTTTATCTGACTTCATTAAAAATTTTTTACCACATTTATTTTAATTTAAGTATAATTTAATTTTAATTTATAACAATATTATTTAAAGTTCCCTATTGTTTTAGTTGACTTAACTTAATCCGTTTTCTTAATTTTATTTTCTTTAATTTTACTTATTACGTTTTTTACATTTTCATTTTCATTTTTAGGTAATTTTTTTAATTTTATTATATTTTATAACATTATGTTTTATATAAAACTTTAATTTATTTTATTTAATATTATTTTATTGTACATTATATATTATTCTTCCATTTTTTGCCTTAAATTAGTTTTTTTTATACTTCAGTTTATTTGATTTTATTGGATTGAATATTCTCGAACGAGTGAGCATTACTTTCAGTGAGTGCCATTTGAAAACACAAAATACAAATGGTTTTCAACATTCCTCCACAACAAAATAACCGCTTTTGCATATACATAGTTAAAATTTCAAATTTAATTTATTGATGTTTTAAGAAAAGCCTAACGTTTAACTGTTGAACTTCAAATAAACTCCGCGAATAAACATTATCTCCATTCACTGTCATTGGTTGATTGTTGCATAATAGACCCATTTCTATTAAAAATGTTGTTATATATATATACCGCCTCCTTTGCAGTTGCTGTTAGAGCCGTGTCTTCTGCTTCAGTACTGCTGAGTATAATCTAGAACAAGTGTTTGTTGATTCGGAGGTTATCATAACCCTTAAGTTCAACCTCCGTTGTTATATCAATATCACAGTCATTAAAGACTTTGTCTAAATATGGTCCAACGAATTTAAAGCCCCTATGTAACTAAAGCACTTTATATGACTTTGATGAAGCCAATATTAAGATGTGGTTCACTGGTATGGACCCTTTTATCAAAACATTCCAATAACTTAGACTCTGTTCAAAAACACTTTTAATTTTTTGCATTGAGACATATCCGATGGAACTCTGCGATAAATCTTTTACCCTATACCAACCGTTTAAAGCGTCTAATTCTACCTACTCTCGCAAGTCGTAGAGAATAGAGAAAGGTATTTTTCAACTCGCTTGCATTGTTCATTACTGCCGTTCACATAAAATCCTACATATAAAGGACCTACTATATTCTCTTAAAAGTAAACTGTGCATTATTTATACTAATTCCTCCTCGATCGGTTACTTTCCATACCTGTGAAATGATTGAGCTGACCATTACCAACAAATTTAAAATTCTAAGCGAAACCTGCTTTTGAACTTGCCAATTCTTCTTTATTTGTACTTGACACCATCAAATCATTAATGAATTGTTTAGGCTTCGTCCCGTAAATCACCGTTTAAGCGGTTACATAGGTCTTGAAACATCAAAAAGTTTTTTTTGATAATTCTTTTGGATAACAATAAAAAGTATCAAGAATATTTTCAGAAAGTTTCAAGTCGATCGAGACGAAACTGTAGAAATTAGAGAGTTTTATAACCCCCCGTCTTTGTCATGGCTTGACC